GCCACCACCAATTGTTGGACTCTGTAGCTCAGTGTTATGATTTGCGGGGGTCCCTCAAAATTTATTGTTGGATACTTAGGCTGTTTCCATACGGGTATCATGAATACTGCTGCAATGAACGTGGTAGTGCAGATATCTTTTTGACACACTGAAGCGACGTTGTTGTTTGGGGTAAATACCCAGGGTTCATTGTCTCATGCCAAGGAAATCAAGGACATGGACACACAAGAAGTGAGTTTAAGAGCAGAGGTTTAACAGGCAAGAGAAAAGAGAAAAGCTCTCACTCCTGCAGAGAAAGAGGCGCTCCAGAGTGGGTCTTCTGGCCCGTGGTGCAGTGCAGGAGTTTTTTAGATGAGCTTGAGGAGGTGGTGTCTGATTTACATAGGGCATGAGAGATTGGTCGGACCAGGACATTTGCACAGCGCGCAAGGAGAAGCTGGCCACCCCACCCTAATCTTTTATTATGTAGATGGGTCTATCTGACCAGTGCCATGTTGCTGTTCCTCTGTGACAAAGAAAAGGAAGAGGGAGCCCCCATGTTGAACATGCTTGGCCCCCAGCTAGCCCTTTTTCTCTTGGCACAGCTGCCGGCATTCACTGATACAAGCTTCCAGTCTGCAGCTCGATTTTACAGACTGCTCTTTGTTAGAAAAGAAATGATTTGGGGGCTGCTTTTTGTTGAAAGGGAAACCTTACCAAGGACTCTCTTAGCCTCACTAAACTGCCTAAATAATTTCTTTTTAGCTACTGTATCAATACCAATTATTAATTTCTTTAAATACATACTCAGAACTGGAATTGCTGGATCATATGGCAGTTCAATTTTTATTTTTACTCTTTTAGAAACCTTCTTACTATTTTCCAAACCGTCTGTACTACTTATACTTTCCCACCAACAATGTAGTGGTGTTCCCTTTTTTCTATATCCTTGCCAATACTTGTTATAATTTATCTTTTTATTAATAGTCATTCTAACAGATATGACTATTGTGGTTTTAATTTGCATTTTCCTGATGGTTAGACATGTTGAGTATTTTAAAATATACCTGTTGGCCATTCTTTCTCTTCTTTTAAGAAATATCTGTTCAGATTCTTTGCCTGTTTTTTCGCTGGGTTATTTGTTTTCTTGCTATTGAGTTGTTTGAGTTCTTTATATATTTTGGTTATTAGTCCCTTATCAGATACATGAGTTGCAAATATTTTCTTCCAACCCATGTGTTGTGTCTTTACTCTGTTAATTGTTTCCATTCTGTGCAGAAGCTTTTTAGGTTGATGCAATCTCACGTATCTATTTTTGCTTTTGTTGCCTGTGGTTTTAGAGTCTTATCCAAGAAATCTTTGCTGAGACCAATGTCATGGAGATGTCCCCCTATGTTTTCTTCTAGTAGCTTTAGAGTTTCACTTCTTACATTTAAGTCTTTTATTCATTTTGAGTTGATTTTTTAATATGATATGGGTTAAGGATCCAATTTCATTCTTCTCCATGTGGATATCCGGTTTTCCCAATGCCATTTACTAAAGAGGCTGTCTTATTTCCATTGAGTGTTTTGGCAACTTGATTGAAAATCAATTCACAGTAAATATTTAGGCTTATTTCTGGGCTTTCTGTCAGCTTCATTGGTGGATGTGTCTTTTAAAATGCCAGTACCATGCTGTTTATAATAAGATTGTTTTCTTAATTTCTTTTTCACATAGTTGGTTGTTAGTGTATAGAAACACTACTGATTTTTTGTATGTTGATTTTATATCCTACAACTTTTCTGAATTTGTTTATCAGTTCTAACAGTTTTTTTTTTTTTTCTTTTTTCTTTTTTTTGGATGGAGTCTTGCTCTGTCACCCAGACTGGAGTGCAGTGGCACGATCTTGGCTCACTGCAACATCTCCCTCCTAGGTTCAGGCAATTCT